AATGGGAGAAAATCTTCACCAGCGATACATCTGATAGAGGTTTAATTACCAGATTCAACTGTAAACCTAAAAATTTATAGCCAATTTTGAAAGAGATGCATCTTAGCTCTGGAAATTGTTATTGACTATGTCAATACTTTTGTAATGAAATGCTTCTTCTAATTATATGGTTATTAAATAAGTAATTTAAAAAAACAAAAAAATTAATTAAAAATTTTTTTAATTTCAATTTTTATCTTATGTGTATGAGTATATTGCGTATATGTATGTAAGTGCACCCGTGTCATGTGAATCTTGCAGTAGACAGAAGAGGGCATCAGATCCCCCGGAATTGGAGTTACAGACAGTTGTTAGACATCATATGGGTGCTGGGATTTGAACCTGGGTCTTCAGTAAGAACAGCCAGTGCTCTTAACTGCTGAGCCATCTCTCCAGCCCTAACTGAAGGACTTCTAAAAATAATTACTTGTTGAATATCCACTATGTGCCAGGCACTGTTCTAGGTACTGGATATAAAGTATGAAACACAGTGCAAGGCGTCATGGAACTAGGGCCACAGGGAGACCCTGTCTCAAAAAAAAAAAAAATCAAAACCCCAAACCATGAAGCACACAAACATAAAAGTCAGTAATTGAATACTTAAAAAAAATGACACCTTTTTCTTTATTTTTTGGTTGTTATTTTTGAGACAGGGTTTCCTTGTACCCCAGCTAACCTAGAACTCACTATATAGACCAGGCTGTCCTTGATCTCGCAGAGACCTGCCTGCCTCCACCTCCCCAGTGCTGGGATTAAAGACATGAGCCACCATGCCTGGCCCAAGATGATACATTTTCAAATTTATTTTTATTATGAGTATTTTGTCTGCATGTGTGTAAGTACAACTCATTTGTATAACGCCCACAGAGGTCAGAAGATGGCATCAGATCCCTTGGAACCAGAGTTTAAGGTAGATGTTAGTGGGCATGTGGGTGCTGGGAAGTGAACCTGGATTCTCTGCACAACAGCCAGTGTTCTTAACTGTTGAGCCATCTCTGCAGCCCAGTAAATAACTGAATACTTAAATACCGTGGCTTTCTACTTATTAAATGAATAATTACACAGCTTACTAAACTACTCACTATGCCAGGCCTCCTACTTGCATAATTGCATTTGCTCCATATAGTTGTGTACAATCACTTCTGATCCCCCATGAAAGAACAGAGGCTGAGAGAAATTGCGTAATGTAATCAACATCACAACACTAAATATATTCAGAGGCTGGCCACTAATACCAGATATGTCTTGATTGGGCCTGGAGACACATAGCCTGGGATTGAATCTCTGTGCCTTCCATTTATCAGCTGTGTGGCCTTGGTCAAGTCCCTGAGCCCAAGCAATCCAAGCTTGGTTTTCTTATCAATAAAATGGAAATCACGGGGCTAGAAAGATGACTCAACAGTGAAGAGTATTGGCTGCTCTTGCAGAGTTCCCAGATTTGGTTCCCAGGACCCACATGGTGGCTGACAACTATCAGTAATTCCTGTTCTAGGGGATCTGGCGCCCTCTTCTGACCTCCACGGGCATTGCATGACTTGGGTGCACATACATGTAGGTAAGACACTCATAAAATAAAATAAAATATTTTTTAAAATGGGAATTACAACAGTACCTCTCTTGTTGATCTGAGCACTAAAAGGGCCAATGTGCAGCATGTACATTGTCATGGCCATAAGAAGCAAGCAATGCATCATTAGCTGCTGTTATTAACCAGGCTGCATACATTTACTCAGCCTGTTCTCATCCAAGCTTCCAGTGGTCATAGAGCTCTGTGCAGGTTGAGGAAGGGTCTGTTTTGTTTTCCCTGCTTAATTCAATAGCATCCCACTCAGCCAACTCTCTCACAAGCACCTGCTAACAGTTGCATTGTTTAGTGCTTCTAACAAGTGTGGGTAACTTCTGATTTGCATCCTTAATAGACAATTCCCAAAGTATGTGCAAACAACAGTTAGTTTTAGGAGACCTGCATTGGATTTCCTTCTGTCCTGTTGTTTACCAATAGTGGATGGGCTTTAACAGCTCACCCATGCTCTGATCCAATCTTAACACTTTCATAGAACATTCCTGGTACAGAAGGTCAGTAAGTTCTGTCTCTTAGACCAGGAATGCAAACTCATTCAGGTTATCAGGCCCCTGAACAAGGGGCAGCCAGCTGTTATCAGGGTCAGTTACTATAGTCATTTTAATGAGCGCATAGAGTTCAGTCCATGTAGCATAAGGCTCAAAAGCATTTTCAATATTCATGTAAATGGCTGCAGGCAATGTATCATTTTTCATGACAGTCCCACACAGAGAGGCCTTTGTACCTATGCTGCAGATGAGGAAACTAAACTGCAGAGTTAAAAGATGTTCAGTAATTTCTCAAGGTCACACAGCACAGGGAGCAGTCCGGGACCGCCAGTCCTATGGCCTTGACTTTTAGTGAATAGAGTAGTAAAATGGATGGCACTCCGCACTCTCTACAGCCACCTTTATAATGAGGTATGTATTGGCAACATTTTAAGTATGAGGAAACGGAAGGTCAGAAAACCTTTGGAGGTTGGCCTGGTGCCTAAAGGACAGAGTTCAGGAACTAGAATCTCTGTATAGTGACTCTGTGGTGCCCTGTAGTGCACACTGGGTAATAGGCAGTGATGGTTTCTGATGTCAAAATCCATTATTGCTGTGGCTGCTGCTGTGATTGTCGTTATTTTCTGCAGAACACCCTCTCCCAAATACACAGAGAGGAAAATAACAATGATAAGAACACAGCTGATTCCGTATGCAAGCCTGCAGATCTGAATCCATGCATAATTTACTTAACACTGCCCTGCAGTCACTTAAGCTGAGGAGAGTCGGCTATAAATTCAGGTCTGCATACACTAATTTATTTCTTATTTATTTTACTGATACATATCTCGGGCCTCCAGCCAGCTGCTCCAACACCTGCTTGAAGGCACCTGCAACCCTGAGTGCCAGGGGGCAGGAAAGGAAAACCTGAAAGAAGTACTGAACTCTGTGTACTAGCACCATGCAAGTTAAATTTATTTTCTGGTAAACTGGGATTAAACCTATGCTTGCTCCCACCTTCCGTTTTGTGATTCACAGGACTGTAAATGTTGCTAAATCTCTTATTCTGCCTTGCTTGTAATGAGAGCACCTGGAACACTTCTCACAGGAGCACAAGATTCCTTTTCTGTGTCACAGAATACCAAAAGATGAGCAAGTTTTCTAATGTGAAGATACAGACAGAAAGGAGATGAAGAGGAGAAGAAAAAAATGTTATTCTTTTCTTGAGTGGTTACTGATAGCATGGTAGGCAGTGGGGTGTTAAAACTGGCTCTTACATGTGGTAAACAAGGTCACTTGGAAGAAATGTTAGCCACACTTGTGCAAAATGGTCTCTAAGCTTCAGCCCAGAGAGAGGAAATGACCTGCCACAGACCATCAGAAAGTTGGCTTCAGGGCCTGGATAGATGGCTTAGTGGTTAAGAGCACTGGCTGCTCTTGCAGAGAACCTGTGGTCGGGTTCCAGCATTTGCACGCCGACTACCAACCATCTGTAATTCCAGTTCCAGAGGATTTGACATCCTCTTCTGACCTCTGTGAGCATTGCAGGACATGGGTGCATTTACATGCATGTAAGTAATACATTCATACATATAAAAAATAAAAATAATAAAATAAGAAAGTTGGTTTCAATGTGTTCTCCTTTTCTGTTTTCACACTGATTTCAAAATTATTTTTTAGGTCAGGGGATAGAGTTCAGTGTTAGAGTTCATATGGAAGGCCCTGGGTTCAATCCCCAGCACTTAAAAGAAACAGGAGAAGAAAAATCACAGCAAAAGTACCTGGGCTTGAGTTCTTCAAGAGTCAGAAGCTACAGTACAAGATTCACCTGCCTGGTCTTGAAACTGCTGAGTTCCCTCAGCAACCAGATTCCAACCTGGTAAAGCCTATGCATATACCTATTCACCACACTTTTAAGATCCCTGCTTCTGCCTCCAGGCACTAGATGGGACTGTAGGGGAAGACAGAGAAAGGGCAGGGGACCTAGAGATATAGGTTAGGATATAACAACATCTAGACCAAAGCAAGGGACCGGGGCATGGCCTCTCTTTACTGTATAAATCATTCGTTTTTCTTTACCCATTCTTTTTTCTTACACACAACAGCGTATGAAACAAAAGAGGTAAAAGACCATATTCCTGAGGACCAGCCCTAGCCTAGTGGGGCTGTATTTCCTGGCTGTTGTCTCACAGATTCCCTGCTGCCATGGGAGTCCTGGGTCTTAGATTTGGAGACTTACCCGCAGAACATGAAGATAGTGCTGGAGGAGGCATCATAGGGCAAAGGCAGTGTCTGCTGCAGGCAAAGTTGCTCACAGCCTCCATTAAAGCCATCAGAGCAGTCGATGCCCTTGGAGTGGTCATAGCAACCGGAGCCATCCTTCATGGGCCTCAGCTCCTCAGGGCACTGTTAGAGAGAGAGAGAGAGAGAGAGAGGCCACACAGTTGGAGTAGTGTGGAGGAAGACAGAGGAGAGAGAGAGAGAGAGAGAGAGAGAGAGAGAGAGAGAGAGAAAACAACAGAGTGGTTATGGTGCAGGATGTGGAAGGTTCCATCCCATTCGCTCCTCCTACTTTCTAAACGGCCATGGGTCAGACCCACACACAGACGTTACAGTCTCATTTGGTCCATTAAAGGACTGTGTAAATTTGGACCAGACTCTTTACTTCTCTAACCTCAGTATACCTGGCTGCAAACAGGACTTCACTGAAGTCCCTACCTCATTGAGTTGTGAGACTGAAGGGACACAACGTGGTCAAAGCACTTAGAACACAGACTTTCACAACAGCCACACCATAAATGTTAGTAATTCACACATGCCATTACTGGGACCATCTCATTTACTGATTTCATTGTTATTGTCTGACTGGGTCCCCTACCATAATGTTCACTTCGGAAGTCTGACATATATATACTTTTGAGACAGAGTCTCCCTGGAACTTGGAGAACTTTGAGAACAGAGTCTCCCTGGAGCTTGGCCTGGAACTTGCTATGTAGACCAGGGTGGCCTTGAACTCACAGAGATCCCCCTGCCTCTGCCTCCCAAGTGCTGGGATTAAAGGCGTGTGCCACGACACCCAGCTCATTTTTTTTTGAGTCTCACTGTTCCTGTATATTAAAAGGACACTAATGACATAGCTGTAGATTTGCTGTGAAGGTTAAACTTAGAGTTTGGGCATAGGAGCATACCTTATTTTGGAATTAGTCACATAATTTGATCCTCATAAAATGTGAATTACCTTTCTGTGTTGAGTTGATCTATTTTCCACCTTGTCCCTGGAGTTCTAAATAAGCATCCTGCACATTCACCACACTGCTGGAAGACCTCCTAACCAGTCTGGCTTCTCTGCACTACCTTCCTGGTGGCCACTGCAATGATATGTCTGAACAGAACCACCAGCATCCATAAACAAATGAATTTGTGGAAAGTTTGAGTCTTCCCTCAGCTGATAATAGAGGTCCTCCTTCAGCCACATACATATTCTTGAATGTCCCTTAACAAAACCCAGGGATTTCCACCTTCCACTCCAGCTGTAATACTGTTGTCTGTGGGTCTGACACCTTCTGAGTTGATGGGAGATCTTACACTGAGGTACTCCTGGGTGCTTATTTAATTCCCATCATTTGATGAGTTAAGCTCATCTTCTCCAGATTTGCTGATGGAAAAGCAATTCAAACACCCTGCCTCCCAAAGACAACACAGGTATAAGGTTTTAATTTCAGTCATCCTGTTGGCATTTGCACCAAGATGAACACCCAGTGCTCAGCCCCCCTCATCCATCAATGGACATCACTGATTAAAATGCCCTCTCACTGTGCCCCACCTCCTTCCAGCTCTACAGGCCCCTCCCCAAGCCCAAGCCACTTTCCTAAAATGACATCAATAACAAAACACGCACACACACACACATACACACACACACACACACACACACACACACACACACACACACCAATTTCCACAAACAACTACCACATAAAGGAGGTCATCTCTCTTGGAAATTAAATTTTGCTTAAGAAGGATTTGTAATTACAAATGTACAAGAGAGTTCTTGGAGACATGTGAGCCTGGCGCCAAGAAGGGTGACGGAGAAACTAGGTTATAAATGACCTTTGTCAAGCTGCAGGAAGGTTATAAAACTGCTACATTTTGTGCTTAAAAAGAAAAATCAATTTTCCATGTGAGTGAAGTGCTGTACATATTAATATAAGCTCAAAGGAGGCCCCTGCTTGTCTTTGAATATCAGCTGTCAGAGAGAAGGGCACATGGTCATGGGGTCATTTGGAGCCAGTTGCTGGACTAGGGGCTGGGTTCTATCCATCTGCAGAGACTTAGGGGAACCCATTTGCTGGACCTTCTCACCAAATAACAAGAGGGACCTGGGGCAGGGTGCTCACCAAGTCCTTTCATTCCCAACTGGTTCCCCTATGATTTGTTCTTTGCATGGTCACTATAATCCAGTTATAAGCAAGTTATACTTCTCTAATATCTGTAGAAAATACATGGGACATTTATAGGATGCTCATGATGGCTTCCAAAGACATATCTCTACCTCTGAGCCTCAGAAAGTGCAAATATTATCATCCATGGCAAAGTCTCTGCAGGTATGATGAAGTGGAAACTCTTGAGACTATTGGATTTTTCCAGGTTGGCCTAAATGTCACCCAAATGACCTTATAAGAGAGGCAGTAAAAATTATGCCCACAGTAGTCATCAATGCAGACTCATCACTGGTCCAAATGCTGAGAATAAGTGATTGCTGAATGAATAGTCAGTCTTAAATGGGACATCTACTACATCATCCTCCCTCCCTGAGGTTCAAGGAGCATCCCAGAAGAGGGACCAGAAAGAATGGAATCAGAGCCTGAGAAGCAGTGCTGGAAGATGCCGTCTTCTGAACAACACATGACCATTGCTCTCAGGAATGCACAGCATCTGTGGTTGCCTGCACAAGATCAGCCAAGATTCCAGCATGGGTGAGGCAGGGCCCCATGATGCTCCATTCTTAGCTGAAGAGCTATTGAAAATTGGTGGGGTGTGGTTCCTAGTAGGTTGCCCATGCACATACAGGCGGTGCGAATTATTAGAAAAACAAAAAAGAAGAGGGCATAGAAGTGGGAGGTGGTCATTTCGGGGAATTCTTAGGAAAAGGGGAGGAGGGAGTTGGGGGTGCATGTGATCAAGCCACATGGTATCCATGTATCAGATGTCCAAAAATAAATTTAAAAATTTAAAAATTATACCCACAGAGGAGCAGGTAATGTGCAGGTAGAGAGAGATGGGTGCAAAATCGCCACAAATCAGAACTGCCCCAGGAGCTGAGATGAATTTCTCCTCCAGGGCCTCCAGTGAGAAGAGCCATTGGCACACCTTGACTTGAGACTTCAGGTCTCCAGAACATTTAGAAAATGTATTTCTGTTGTTTTTAGCCAGAGAAACTTAGACAGATGAATATGAACACTGTTCCCATTTTAAAGATGAGGAAAGTGAGGAGGAGACCACTCAAATCTGTGTTGGAAGAGGCAGTACTTGTCAAGCTTGCCAACTCTATAATTCTTTTTAAAAACTATTTATTATTATTTTTTTATGTCTATGAGTGTATTGCCTGCATGTATGTAAGTGCATACATGCTGTGCAATACCCATGGAGGTTAGAAGAGGGCATCAAATCCCCTGAAACTGGAGCTACAGATGGTTGTCATCTGCCATGTGGGTGCTGGGACTCCAACCCAGGTCCTCTGCCAGAGCAGCCAGTGTGCTTAACCACTGAGCCATCTCTCCAGTCCCCATAACTCTGTAGTTCTTAGTTGCATTCTGTGTGTAGTAGTTAATCCTGATTGTTAACTTGATTGGATTGAGGTATGCCTAAGAAATTACTGAAGCCCTGCGTGTGTGTGTGTGTGTGTGTGTGTGTGTGTGTGTGTGTGTACACGTTTCCATAGAGGATTAGATCATGAAAGCTCTGATCAAATCATTGGCTTAATCCACCAACAGATTTGAATCTGGATAGAGTATTTAAAGGAAAAGTGGAAAATGGGGCTTAATTAGACAAAGTGGGTCACTGAGGCATGCCTCTAAATGGTGTATCTTGGTCCAGATCCTTTCCTGCCATGCTCCCCACTTCCTGGCTATCATGCAGTGAGTAGTTCTTTCCACTACACCCTTCTGACATATTGTTCTGCCTGACACAGTCCAGAAACAATGGAGTCAGCCAGCCATAGTATGAAGCCTCTGATGATATGGGCCAAATTAATCCTTTAAAGTTGATTCTCATGGCTGTTTGTCACAGCAATGAAAAGCTTATTAACATGCTGGCTAAGGTATTTGAAAGTACTCTCGATTCCTGACTGACAGATAACAGAGTCAGAGCAAGGCAGGGTGGAGCTGATCTCACCTCCATGCTTTAGAACTGATGGAACGAGAGTGGAGGCATATCCTTTAAAGTCCCTTAGCAGAGAAGTCAGTCAAGTCTCCTTGTTTCGGCGCTGGGCTCTCTGCCCACTACTCTTAGAACTGAGCATGCAGTGTTTCACCTTAAGGAGCGCCTCATGGGCCTTACCTGTAAAACGGAAATAAGGCCTCTCTTGGAGGCATTTTGGGAAACTATGAGAAAAACACATCCGTTTTTCTGCGTCTGGTTTTTCATCTGGTAAATAATAAGAACCCAATAAATGAAAGAGAAATAAATTAATGAATGATAAATCCGTGAACCCACTCTCCCAAAAGAAATTATAACTTTTAGTTGACTTTCTTTTCTTTTCCCATTTGTCAAGTCCTTGACCAGATCTTCAATAAATACTTACTATTGAACAAGTACTCAATGCTGAGCAAATGTTTAAGGTGCTAGAAATAAAGTAATAAGACAGCCAAGCATCTACTATCATAGAGTTTAAATTCTAGAGTAGACAATTAACAGCAACAACAAAAAATACAAAATAACTATTTAGGAGAATTCAGTATATTGAAAAAAGAAAAAGGTATACTGTGGTAAAGATTCATAAGGACAGAATGAAGAGTCTGTACATTAACGTAGAATAAACCCTTCTTCAACTTTTCAAAAGCAGCTTTGTCTAATTATCTTAAAATTTAATGTCAATTTGGGGAATATGGGCAGTTTTACTATGTGTGTTTTCCAATTCATGACTATACCATGTGTCCCCATCTATTTAGATTTTCTTTGATTCCTTTATTAAACAAGCATTTAAGTTTTCAGTACAAATGTCCCATCATATTTTGCCCAATTCCCATTTATGTATTTCATTGTGTTTTAGGATTACAAATGATACTTCATTTAAAAAATTTAGTGTCCATAAATTATTGCAATACATCACATCATAACTGAGGGGCTGGAGAGATAGATTAGGAGTTAAGAGTCCTTGCTATTCTTGCAAAGGACTTGGGGCTGGT